ATAGGTACAAATCTCTACCATGCATACCAGGTACATCACGAAATATAACTAGTTTTGGACCTTGTTTCATTTGTCCACCAAATACAAAGAACAATGGTTCGAGACTTGAATGCAACAAGTGTTCATCAAATGACTTATTTTGTGTTCGTTCTGCTATTAAAGACATCAATATGACTGATGTGTCCAGTTACGATCAAGCGAGTCCTTATCCTGAATCACCAGAGTCAACTCAATTCGATGATATTCTGCTATATAATATTTTCAGAACTAATTATCATTGTCTACATATTTCATCATTTTTTTGGTCGTGTTGTGTGGTTGGTTTGGGTTCTGTCCTCTTTCTAGCATTGAATCTTCTATCGTGCTGCTCAAAACGAAAATTACTTTACACATCATTGAAGAAACTCTTCAGACAATTTGATCTAGTTAGTGGCGAGAAACATTGGTTTGGTGGATTGATTTCCTTAGGGATAGTAACTCTAATCGTATGTACCTGTATTTTCAGTGTTTCTTTCTTGCGTTTGTACCCGATCGAACGCAGTTCATCTCAAGACCGAATGAAAATGTCGTGTGATTCGAATTTAGTCAATACTAAATTCACTAGTTCTCTGCAACTCTTATCAATGTTAAAGCATGACAATGAAAAAACAATTCTCATTATGCTCAACGAACAGCCTATGACTCTTACTGTCAAGTTTGTGAGCACTGGCTTTTCTTGTAGCAATATAACCGTAGTACAGAAAAATATTCTAAGTCAATTGAAGCCTATCAAAACATTTAATTGTTCGTTTGACAAATCTCAATTTATTCTTTACACTTCAACTTTATTACCTCAACACCTTGTTAAAATACAATTTAATTTGACTGGTCCATATTTTGTTGGAGGTCTTCATTTATGTTTATCAGGTCCGAAAATGCGCAAAATGGATGGAAAATTCATTGTACAAGCAGTTGATTTTTGCCAGTTTTTGTTCGCTCCGAATCAGACTCTAACAATTAATTCGATTATTTGGTTTAAATTGATCCGAGTAATCAATAGAACAGCACCGATATCACTTAATGAAGAACCATCATTTAGTGGTCTCTGGCTGCCGTCAGTAACAACTGGTTCTCTTTGGGATTCTCATCTTTACACAGATGGTGACGAATATCTTCGCTATCAGAATATGGAGATGAGTCTTATCATTGATATCAGTGAATCAGAGTTCTACATGAAAAATACGCAAGAACCTATTGCACGAGAATATGAGATCGTATTTAAAGCTATTCTCTTTTCAAGTAAGATAAGTTATTTATCAATTTTAATCGAGATTTTTCAAATAAAGAATAGATACGTGATTTAAATTACTTCAAAAAAAAATAGATTATTATCTCTTTCTGATATTCCATATACGATTCAATTCAAATTTTCATATAAAATTTACTAGACTACAAGAAGTAAATCACCCATAATTGTTAGGACGAAATCGATCTATTATTAAAATTGAAATGAATTCAATATCAAAATAAAGATACTGAATATAGAATTGACCATCGCTAGTTCTGACTTTCTTTTGAAAAATGAATTCTGTTAATAATACGATACATTACTCATTGTGCTTGTTGATTTGCATAAATTATTTTTCTATAAGAAAAGAAAATATTCCATTCTTTACAGTCTCCCTCATTCCAAAACATCGAAGTTTTTGCTAAGCTTTTAAGTTTTATTTTATTCTCTTGCTCCTTATAGAACAGAGTGTCTACCTACAGAATATATGCCCATCTTGGTGGTAATTCAATATGTTTCTACCTAATTACGAACGATATTTTGGAATGTCTATCATCCTGCAAATTTGCTAGAAGATTCGCCTCATGCAATTCGGTCTCGTCAACTTTTTTTCTAAGTATTGAGTCTAATTTCATGAAAAACAGTCTCGTCTATAATTGTTAAAAATGTGTCAGATATCTATATTGAGCATCATTGACTCACGCACAGCACGCTACAAACCTGACTGCCGTCTTTACTACACTGAGGAAAATTTTTCTTCTTTCCTTCTTGACGTGATATAATAAGAATCTTCTTTCACATCGAAAAGATGACATCATAACATGTTCTAGTCATGGTTGGCATCCGCAGAAAATCGCAACCGGTTTCTGAAGTGAGGAGAACATCTAATGCAATAATTGAATTGGTTATTATTTTTAGTGTTGTGTCTTGATCTGTTCGGACTGCTCTTTCTTTTTTTCAAATTAATATTTGTACCACTTACTCGACAAGTTCAAACAATATCGATTTGCAAGAAAGTCGATCGATGAATTGTTTTACACGCAAGAATCATAGCAGCAATTTTCAATCTATTTTTTCTCTTTAAAAATTACACGATATTCAACAGGAAAACTGTAGCTACCAACTCAGTCAAATTCAATCAAAAAATCAAATTTGACGAAAATTGACTATTGTACACAGTGCACTGTTATTTCTATTGATATTTCTTTAACATTCTTGCATCATTTAAATAAAAAATTAATATTGGTTGTTCAGCAGATTTATTAACCATCTGTTATTGAAATTCATCGTCGAACTCATCAAATATGATTTTTATAGAGTATGTGTGGATGTAGGTATGATGGAAGAGAAGTTGCATACCTATACTCATATCCTACACTATAATATCAGCATCTGTATTGATAACACCCTTTTTGTCTTTTTTTCATTTACATTTTGGTTTGATTTGAGAAAACTCAATGAGATCTTTCAATTGATGTATAAAAAACTAGACTATGTCGCTACTATATCGGATAGTGTATTATGGAATGATTGCCGTGGAAGTCTATAGATAGTATATAATAGTGACCAATTCTTTTTAACGAAAGCAAGTTAAGACTATCGAAAAAAATTACTCATAAAGATTCAATATTAATAAACTTGACAATAAGGATCTACTTGATGCTTGAAAGATTGAAATCTCATGTACTGGGTACATCTTCCAAAAACTGGACGAGCAATAAACTAATCGCTACGAAAATTAGTCGAAAAAAACTGTATAATAAAAATATTACAGCTTGCTTTAGTAAAACATTTTATTTACAAGAAATAAGTTAAAGAGCTTTAAAAGAAGTAATGAGCAGATAACACTTAACAATCTCGATATTACTACAAGTATGCATCGCTTTCCTAATATACGCGTATCTTTAAAAATTAAAATATCTTTTTATCATAAAACTTAACATAACAGAAGACTGTTATAAACTTGCAATAAAACATTCATCCAAAGCATACTGAAACTATCAAATAATACTTATATTATAATATATGTCTGCGTGATTTGATTATATATTTTCAACTAATACTACTGTTTACAAAAATTAGATGAACTCGGTGTTTTGTTGATTTTATCAAGTTCAATTGCCAGTCAATGGCTGTCCAAATAGGATTAATGACAGCTACCTTACCGCAAAATATTGAGAGGTGATAGTGAGTATTTTATGTTTATCTGTATGATTTATTGTTTATGGCCAGCTGTCTAACTTTTTATACTGTCTTCATTTTAATCATCTTAAAACTTGAAAAACAACAAAGTCCACAAAAATTACTGTCAGAAAATTTTGCTTAATAAAATCTGAGCTAACCGAGATTTACTTATGTTTTATGTGCTCCAAAAGGTCATGTTATAGAGTGTTTTCATAGAAAATACTCTATTCGTTTGCTCATATATTGAGTAGATCTATATGAAAAAATAAATTGTTTTAGTTCTCTGCTGAATATTGTATGAACCTATGAGACATAATTATTCCTTACCATTCCTTATATAAGGATATGATTCATGTCGAATACCTTTAATGAACTTCCGTGACGAATATTACTTAGTTCTCTTCTCCCTTAGGTATGAATAAATAAATATATTATACAATATTTTTTGATTGTTCATTAAATGAAAAGTGGCGATATTATAGGAGCGCAATAAAACGAGACTGTAATTTTATTCGTTCCAAAAAGAGGTCATTTTTCACTAATTGACGTATTTTTTGCTTGCAATTAATATGTAGTCATAACTTTTTTTGTGGAAAATGTGTTTTGATTACTAAAGTTGTCTAACTAGAAAATCATTACCAAAGATGTGGATGAGGAAAAGACCTCAGCATCATGTGCATCCGAGTCCATTTCATTTATAAGAAGTTTGATGATGAAAAGAACATGGTTATCTATTTCTTTTCTTAGTGAACAAAAATAATCTAACAAAATTGTTATGCAGGACACTAAAAAAAGAGAATGACTTCAAAACATTCTTTGTATGAAATTATCTTTTGTAGTTCATAATAAGGGATAGAGAAAGTATAAATGTTTAGCCGCATGTTTTTTTCTCTATTTATAGAAAACTAATTAGAAACATGATAATCTGTAGATTGTTCAGACCCTGCTCGAAAGGAGAAATATCGAAAAATTCGAAAGTTAAAAGCTAGAATTGTTGAAAACTATCCATTCGAAAAAGTATTCATGATAATGTCATTAGCACAAAATTGACGCTAAATTGTGAGTGGGCCTGAGTATTTGGATCTTATCTTCTCCTGTTTCCATACGCTTACTGGTTTGTATGCCTAAACTTAAGTAATATTGATCAACTGGTTTATCGAAAACTTTTTTACTTATCTTTCATCCATTCATTGTCAAATAAATAAATTTGGTCCAATTTAAACTACTTATCTTTTTATATATTCAATAAAAAAAAAAAACATGCTGAAGTCTCTGTCAACATTTCATCTTTTGACCTAAGTTGAGGAATTTGTACAATATGCCTATAAATGACAGAAAATTGTTTTCATAGAAATTCTGTTCAACATTAAATGATTTTGCAAATGTTGTATTATTGATTTCTATTTTTAAATAACATTGATTTATTTTTATGAATAAAAAAATATTATTGTCCATGAAAATTCCATAAGAATATAAGATTAAAAAATATATTAATAAAAAAAACAAAGAACAATAAAAAGATGAAAATAATTATAAGACGTGTCTTACGTCATACTTTTCTCAATCGAAATAAAACAAATAATACACAAAAACTAAGTATTAAAACCAATGTTGTCGTATTATAATCAATAGAATTAACTGTTTGATTAATATTTTGTATCGATGATACATAAAGTCTGTTATTCATCTTCACAGTTATCATTTTAGTAAAAAAAATTACACGAGACGAACTAATTGTGCGAGAAGTAGTAATAGAAGATGGTGATGATGATTTAGTGTAATATTCTAAATACAAATAGCCAAAATGATAAAATTAATAAGAAAATAATCCATACGACTTACGAAATTCTTGCTGTTTTTGAAATTCTTGTCTTATTTCCAATGTTAATTCTCTTATTAAATGATTCGTTTGCTTTCTGAGTTCAATTACATTTGAAGAATTTGACAGTAATTGAAAAATAATTTTTTTCTTTTGTTCCAATGCTGATTCTAATCTTAAATGATGTTGGCTTTTTGTTATTAATTTTTCTACTGGAACTATAATAAAGAAATAAAAGAGATTTTTTTAATGATTTTATTTTTTATTTTTCTTCTTACATACGTTCAGGTAACTTATAAGCATGATCAGCAAATTTCATTATTGATTATATAATTTGTTTAGAAGCATGTTGTTTTTGACATTGTTCAATAAGATTGGAGAAACGTTGACGTAATGAAATACGAATAGTTGATGAAAATTGACTTTTATTTCTTTGAAATTTTCGAAGTAAGTTTATTAAATATTGTGCGATATTTTTCATACTTTGATTATTATGACATAATATTCCGAAATCAATCAATTCAATGGTATTATTATTTTTTAAACTTTCATTAGCCAATCTAAGCGTGAATTCAATAAATAAAAATTAATCGAAAAACACTTTGTTAATTTTATTGTTTCTTTTTGTTAAGATTCTCTCAAAAAAATCGATCTTGAACCAGATACATTCAGATTGCATTCAATTTTCAGTATAAATTAGGGCTTTATTAGAGAGGGTGTGGGTGTGGGTGTGAGAGAAGAAGTTCTACATTCACACCCACACCTTAGTCGTTAACTCGAAAAATTTCTTTGAATTTCTGCGTTTTTTTTAGTGAAATCGGACTCTTACATATTTGTCGATACGCTGAGTCGACTGGAAAGTGCCACACAACTCGAAACTCTCTCCTTGCGAAGTTACAACAAGTGCATAAATCGTGCTTATATAGTGCATCGTGTCGCCATAGATACCGTAGTTTGTAAGGTGAATATCTCGAAAACTCGTCTTGGGCCGAAAAAAACCGGACTTGACCAAGTGTTACAGAACTAAGTTGAGAATCTACTATATTAATCTCATCGTTAGGAGAAGTGGCAAGACATGTAGCACCACCTAGTGCATTAGTATGCTCGTCATCCCATACTGATTTGATGATTCATTCATATTTGTCCGCAGACTAATTGTTTTCATTGACGACATCGGTCAAACAAAAGACATTAATATGCTTATATTCATAAGCTAAACAAAATAGATACAGGTGAAGACAAAAATGGAACATTCATTTATTGAATTGAATGATTTACCTGACGAAATTCTTATGATTATTCTGGAAAAATTGCACAATGTCGAAGCACTTTATTCTTTAACTGGTGTCAATAAACGACTCAATACAATTGTACATGATTCAATTTTTACAAGTGATTTAACGTTGATGACATCTTCCCCTGATTGTTTATTTCATCGACTTATTAATACAATACTTGATCGATTTTGTCGAGAAATTTTACCTAAAATTCATTGTAAAATCAAATGGCTTAATCTTGAATCATCATCTATGGAATGTATTCTTCTTTCAACAAATTATCCTAATTTATGTGGACTTGGTTTATATAATCTTGCATCAGAAATGGCTAGAGATCTCTTTACTGGTACGATTTTTTTTCGATTAATTATTGAAAAATATAAACGTCTATATTATATTTTACTTTCTATAGTATATTTTCCAGTTTTTTTCTTCGGGAACTTTTATATTATTAGCCACAGAACGAAAGGAAAAGTTCATATATATATATATATATATATATATATATATATACAGTAAAACCTCTATATTGTGAACACCATCGGTACCGAAGAAAACCGTTCAGTATAGCAGTGTTCATAAACGAGAGGGTTAAGCAAATATTAATCAAAGCGTCAGTTGCATTCTATTCTGTTTAATTTCAGTGTTTATTATTACTATATTATGTTTTGTTGCTTTCAATACTATACAACTTTTAACCAAATGAATTTCAAGTGTCTCTTTGAAGTTCTGTAGGTTTCAAAAATTCTAGAATCGATCGTTGTTTAGCAATATTTGAGTCTAAATAGATATCAATTAATTTTGATTGTAGTTGTGTGATTAATGGATGCAATTCAGGATACTGAGCAGTTGATAACGAGTGTAAACGATGCACCATTTTGATTGCCTCCGATAACGGAGGCTGTTTTTCACTATTTAAATTATCAACATATCATCCTTCACCGGAAATCATACGAAAACGAATATTATGACGAGCTCTAAATCGCTCTAACCACCCGTTACTAGCTTTAAAACCTGATGAATCCCCTAATTCTTCAGCTATTTTTCTTGGATACACCTGTAAAATTGAACGAGAAACTGGAATTTTCTTCGCTCTTTGAGCGATGAATCATTCATAAACACTATCATTAATGGTTTGACTTAAATCATCATTAATCTAACGCTTTGCCTTCGTATTTAATTTGGATTCATAATCAGTAATGTACTCATTTTTTCTTTTAAGAATATTTGATACAGCACCAAGAGACATTTGAAAGTTATCTCTTAATTCACGATAAGATAAACCACGTTCTTTAGCTTTAATTAAATTTATTTTTTGTTCTAAAACAAGATCATTTCGAGATGCCATGTCTACATTGACTAGATAATGGATTAGAAGGTATTCAAAGAAAAAAAATGATATTCGTTTCTCTCCCCTGTTCTTTTTCTCTCCCTTCATTTTTATTGATTTTCGTCATACAATCAATGAATTTCTCGACGATTACTTCAACATAGCCCAATCCTTTTATTTTTTCAACTGGTTATCTCTATTAATGTTCATATTGACGAGGTTATTACGAGCAATCGGTACCAAAAATGTGCGTTCACATTCAGAATCAAGGGGTGTTCATAAAGGAGGAGTACAAAACCAGCAAAATTCAGTCGGAGGTTCCGGAGAGTGTTCACTATAACAGGTTGTTCATAGAAGAGGGGTGTTCATAAACAGAGGTTATACTATATATATATGTCAGCGTTCATACTTGGATCCGTCCAATTTGCGATTGACCTAGGTCATTCTCCGATTCGCCTAGGCCAATCATGGATTAGACGTATAATTTTCAGGCGAATCTTAGATTGGTCTAGGCCAATCCCAGATTGGACGTATACCTGAGTATAGACGCTGACATATATATGTTATGGCCCACATTAGAATTCAGCCCGATTCAGAATTCGTCCAGACGAAATTGGAATATTCTTCCAAAAAATAACAAAACTTTAAAAAGAATACTTGAAACTAGAAATCAGAAAGATTTCCGATGATAGTCAGGACTACAGCGAGCTACAGTGAAGCTGTCGGAAAATCTGGGTGTGAGTGAAGGCATCTGAATGAAAGAAAATCAGAAAACTGTGTAAAACTATAGGTTTCATTCTTCTTTCACCCAGATGCCTTCACCCACACTCAGATTTTCCGACATCCTCACTGTAGCCCTCTGTAGTCTTGACTAACATCCGAAATATTTTCGGTCTTTAGTTTCTGGTATTTTTTCAAATTTTGTTATTTTTTGAAATCATATTCCAATTTCGTCTAGACGAAATCAGAATTCTAATTTCGTCTGGACGAATTCTAATTTGGGTCACAACATATACATATGTATAGGTCGTATATGCTCATTCATTCATTATGTATATCGGCTTGTCCAAGCGTAACACGATGACGTTTTGTCCACACTATCTTCAGATTTTCTCAGCAACGAAATCCCTTAGAAATTTCATTCTTTCGTCAGAATATGTGTCTCCTTAGATACTCTTGGAATCCGGTAAATTGGAGTTTATTTAGTTAACCATTCTGAAAATCGTAGCAAAAATATACAGCGTTACGCGATGATGAACAAGAGACAAAAATCTGGGGGTGTTATAGCTGTTCTTTGTTTTTCTCTAGATGTATATTATTCTGAACAAAATATTTTACAATACATTTGTAGAAAGCACTTTGGAGTATTAATGTGAGAAATGCTTTTTTGAAAAAAGGTCTTTTATTAGTAGTGAAACTTTGGTCACATTTACGTTGCACGATGATGATTTCGTTACGCGATGACGAAAACCAAAAAAATAAAATCATATTCCTGCTATTAAGATATCCACAATATTGAATAAATGCAAGTTAACTTTCGTCTTCTGAAAACTACAAGTATCTTTTACCCATTTTCTTCCTAACTATATTGGATAATAGTGTCGATATTTAGATCTGATTTTTCAAACTATTGGTATTAGAGTTGATGCGTTACATGGACAAGCCGATATACGTCGTATCTCTCCCTTTATTATGCATTTATGTATGTCAGTCATCTATCTTATTTTACATTCAGAAACATTTTTTTTATATAAATTAAATCAGTTTTCCTGTAATATTAATATCTAATAAGAAGGAAAAAGCGAGACTCCCGTACGCCTAAAGTGCAGTAGAATACAAAAGAAGTACAGAGGAGTGCAGTGAAAGTACAGAGAAGTACAGTAGGGTACGCACTCCAGAAGTCTCGCTTTTTTCCCTTGAGCCCAATCCTTCACAGGGGCCTCTAGTATTAAAATAATTTATCTGAATATGTCCTACCGTGAGGATTCAAAAAAGCATGCTCATTTTTTTATTTTTTACATATGAGTCATTCGACATAAGTCGCGGCCGAATCTGTTCAATCGATGATGGCCAATTTGGCTAGTTTTTACATATATTATAGAGGCAAGTGTTTAATAAATTTCTATGAAAGCCGTTTGAAAAAATATTGTACCATTCTGAAGATATTTAAATTTGTCTCAAGGCACTATTACCCACAAAGGAGCATTTTTTGCTATTTCTTGTGGCACTCATATCTCAATAAGGGTAAATCTATTCGAGCTCATTATTTTATGGGCAACAGTTCAACATGAAATGTATTTACAGTAAAGATTTCAAGCTAAACGGATATATTCTTAGTGAGATATGAATGCCACAAGAAATAGCGAAAAATGCTCCTTTTTTTGGGTAATAGTGCCTTGAGACAAATTTAAATACCTCCAGAATAGTACAATATTTTTCCAAACGGCTTTCATAGAAATTTATTAAACACTTGCCTCTATAACATATGTAAAAACTAGCCAAATTGGCCATCATCGATTGAACAGATTCGGCCGCGACTTATGTCGAATGACTCATATGTAAAAAATAAAAAAATGAGCATGCTTTTTTGAACCCTCACGGTATGTATTATGTAAAGTTGATTATTAATGATTTTGTTTTACCAACCAATCTTATCAGTACTATTTATCTATGAACATTAATTTGAAGAAAATACAAATATTTACTAGAGATGAGAAATAGTATTTAAATGAAAGACTTTTTATTGCCTTTAAGTTAAATTCTTAAAACATCTATCTCAATGTAGAACACAGAAAAATAGTTATGCTATAATTTAATGAAACAATATAAAAACTAATAAAAATTTAGAGGAATTTTCTATATTTACTTAGATGAAAGCTTTTTAATTCGTATTTTCAAAAAACAAATTTTATCACTTGTTATTGATATTTGTGAATGTGACAATCCAAATTCAATCATAAATATCAATAGGTTTATATATACACAAATCTTTACTACGTTCAATAATTTACAATGTCTAGATTTTGGTCCATGTTGTTCTGATTATGACATATTATCATTTGGTATATCACCTCCAGATGTTTTTTCTTCAACTCTGTTAGAATTGCATGTTGTGGTAGAATCTTATAAAGATTGTCTCTATTTACTTGATGGTCGTTTCAATCAGCTTCATACGCTCTATGTTACTATTTGTTGTCCGTATCCTCCGTTGCCAATAATCAATAATGAAGTAAGTCACTTGTTAAAATCTTTTTATTTAGTGAAATAAATTAATGATGCTTTCAGGATTATTCACTGTCTGTTCTTTTATTTTCTAGAAGAAATTCCCTAATTTAAAATGCTTTTCGCTAACCCATAGGCCGAGGATACTTGACTATGATAAATTGATCATTCCACTATTACATAGAATGTCAAATTTAGAAAAACTATGCTTATATTTTGTCGGTCATAATAAATTAATTGTTGATGGTAATGAGTTGGAAAAGAATATTATCAATCATATGACAAAATTAAAAAAATTTATATTTAATATACGCTCAATAATTCCTTTTCATAATCAAATTAATTTACTATCAAATGAAGATATTCAATATACATTTCGAAATTTTAAGGACAGTCAAGTTATTTCATGTATTGATTATTTTCCAGAGGCAAATGCATGTCACTGTCATATTTATTCATATCCATATACATTGACATATTACAATGATATAACAAATAATTTTCCTGGTGGATTATTTAAATGTGTTCGTGAAGTATCATTATTTGATGAACGCCCTTTTGAACATGAATTTTTTCTTCAAATTGCTCAATCATTTCCATTTATGAAAAATTTATCTCTATGTAATCGGAAACTGCAAAAGAACGACAATCAGCAATGGTCAATTATTGAATATCCCTATCTTATTACACTGGATATTGTGCAAACTCACGAAAATTATGTCGAACAATTTTTAAATAGTACTAAAACGTGTTTACCAAACAATGTTAGTCTTCTTGTCGATTACCTATCTTTACAAAAAGTAACGGACAATTTTACGAGAGATGTAACACGGATGAATTGTTCCAAAATCGCTAATCTACTTCTACCCAGTAAACCAAAATTTACTCCATGTTTAAAGGACTATTTTCCTTATGCAAAAATAATTTGATTATTATCAACTATGATTTGAATAAAATTTCAAATAAAAAGAAAAGAAAAGTTATTTTAGATTTTATAGAAAATTCAAAACGATCATATACAATAAGATGTGATTTATGCAATTAATAAAAAAAACCCTTCATGTGTAAGAGAGAAAAAAATTATATGAAATTAGAATTTTCAATCTAATAAGAGTGTTATTGTATAGCATAAAATACCTCTTTTCATATTGGAAAAATCATAAGAAAATATCAAATTCAATAAAACAATTTAGATGAAAACAGTGCATTTTCATAACAAAGACTTGTTAATGTTTCATTAACTAATTAACATTAAAAGGCACTTGTATCTCGGATTTAGAATATTTTTATACAGGTATAGATAAAGAATCATTCACTCATATTTTGTAGGGTGTCATGTATTGTTTATATTATATAAACCATCAGGAAAAGCTTTAAATACACGTGGTCGTAAACGAAATGCAAGTGGAAGTGAAGAAACACGTAAACGTGCTTCAGCTTCAACTTCAACAACTACTACAGATGAATAATCAAATGAAATAACACCACACAGAAACGACGTTTATCATTTACTTCATTTTATTTAAACAAGAAGTTTTCCAATCATTGTTTATATTTAAACATGATTAAAAAAAAATAAAACGTTTTCTTTTTTTTCTCTGTTAAAAACTAGGACTGTTGCGCCATCCTGTATACCTATTGCAAAATGATGACAGCCATTTCATCTATGGTAACAAAGAAAAATGAGATCATTTGATAGATGATTATCAGTTTATCTGTTGATCTATATGGAATTGATTATTTGGTTTTATAGAAAAATTAAAAGTAAAAACATATATTTGGTCCACTCAATTTTAAGAATAAAATGCTCTTAACCAAATTCAAAACACATTCAATCGTTTTTTGATGCATTTGAAAATATTAATAAGTTTTGTCGAAATCTTATGTTTAGTTATATCCTTATGTTGATGTAATTCAACCAATACACAATATAACCACAATTTGATTTGCTTGAAGTGTACTTTATCGAAGGCTAATATTTGTATTGTTTGAAAATATGTCATACGATTTTTAAGAATATCGAAATTATTCGAGAAATATTTCCTGAAAGACAGTCACAATCGAATTTTTCGACATTGATTTTTATTTTTAATAAAAAACAACGTTTATAAAAAAATGATAGAGCTATACTAAAAAAAATAATTGTTTCACGTTATGAGTGTAACTTATTGCTTAATAATGACTTGTAATAAATGATTATTTATGTGTATGTTCTTTATCGCTAGCACTTTTCTGTATAATTTCAATCTAATATCCATCAGAATCTAAAATCAATGCAATATGTGTCACAAGAGTCTTTTTATACGAATCATTGTATTAGAAAAGCCATATGATGTTGTACTTGTATCTAATGGACCTGTTGGAAGAGAATGGGAATCCGGTGGTTGATAATTCTTAGGAAGATTCGACATATTGTTTTTCAATACCAACGAATTTATTAAATGACGATTTAATAAAAACAAAATATTACTGAGTAAATAAAGATTGAATAAGAAAGATGACGACTTTCTTTATCGGAATCAAGCGTCTGCTCTATTAAAAAAATGAATAAACAAATAATTTCAGTTTACTATAAAATAGTACTTTTACCGGCCACTGATGCAATAACGATCGTGATCGATGTTTTCAGTTTGATCACAGCTGCGATTTGAACACCGACAAACCAAATGTAGAGGAGAATAGACACTACGAGAATAACGAGAACGCAAATGGTGTTATTCACACCAAGATCTTTAAGCATTTTGCCCAATATGGACAAAATAGATATGAGCAAAAGCAGAAGTAGAAAAACGATCATTAAACTGATAACAGGTGTAAATGACTTGACATAGTTAATAGCCGTAAGTGCCACATTGCGTAACTCAACGGTAGCATTCGCTTCGGCTTCTTTCAGAGCATCGGCGAATTTTTCTCCGGCTGCCTCAATGCCAATCAGATCATTGAAACCACTGCCCATTTTCTGGATTTTGAAATTGAAGTAAAAGGACAATTAATATACTTTGAAAGACGTAGCACGATGATAATAGCAAAAAGTCTTTAACGAGTTGAGAAAGTTTATATGTGTACGATATCGTAGTATGGTGAGTTTATATATGCCCTTCTTGCTCTCCCTCTCGAAAATTGTACTTCCTTTTTATGTACTGTATGAAGCTTTTTTACTCAAAAAACAGTAGATAAGATTATCAGTTTCCAACATCGATTTATACTTAGTGACATAACAAGTTGTGAAACAGTTCTTATCTGCTTAACTACCTTATTGAAGGTTGTCTTCATCAACGTAGTCTTAGTACGAATAAAAAGAATAGATAGTTGGACAAAATGTCATTTCTAATAAATGCTGAAGACGTCATTCTTTGTTGATATACGGGAGAATTAAAAGCGTGAAATATATTTGTAAAGAAGATCATGTAAAATTTTTGATGAAGTATTACCATTAAACAACTTCGTTTCCTAAATTATTTCATTAATGAACATATATGAGTCGATATTTTGTATCGATCTTTGAAACATTTCATAAAGTAATAATGCTAGCTTTTTGAAACAAGGAGAGTAATTGAATTTTCCTTTTTACTTATCAATGTTCGGTATAAGAACACAACTCAATAACACAATAATTTTTCTTACATATTTGAATTTATTATGAATATCTTTGAGAACACAGCATAATAGACGATTGTACATACCTATTTGTACTGCCATATCAATGAATAGACCTTAAGAATAGACTATCGATAAAGATAAAAAGTGATTTTTTAAGAAATGCATATCAGTCGTTTGTTGGTGTATTCCATATTTATAATCGTTGTGGCATATAATTTGTTCTCTAACTGATGTGTCGTTTGTAAAATGCGTATATAGATACCAAAACTCTGCACCAAACTGATCTTATGACGAAATCTAGAAGTATTATTTAGTATAGAATGGATAATCATTTCTTAATTATGTCTAGCGGGAAGAAAGCTCTCTCTTTAGAAAGTCTGACAAAAATAGAATCTTTCTTAAATTTCATGTTTTATAAATGTACAGAATCAAAACATTCATTGTTTTGATTACAAATTGTCAAAATTAGAAAAAAATTTTACATTTGTTTAAAAAAATTGTATTCAGTGCTCATTTCTAATGAAAATCATATAGACTGAATATAATTAATGTCGTTCGTAAAAAAACGATATACTATTCAATAATCAACACATAGGAAACATATTAAATTGCTCTTTTAACAATTGTAACGAATTTTTCATGAATATCAAACAAATTGGAATTGATACGAAATCACATTGAATAAATGATCATTATATGTAACATTAATAAACTCGAGTTTTATATCTAATCGTTATCGATTTCAGCAATAAGATCATTATTATAAATTATTTGAAGTTTTACACGATCTCGCCGTTGTTTGTCAGAGATAAATACAAGACTATTGTTACCTTGATCTTCTTCTTCTTTTGCTCGTCTATAACAAAATTTGACGTTTAGATCACAGGCTGTTGATAAAGCAGCTCGAACTTCCGAACAAAGACTATCTGTGATAGAATAACATTCCATTAGTAAAGGATTGAAACGAGCTCGTAAAGCAGCTGCATGTTGATGTTCTTCAGTAAAAAATAAGTAAAACAAATGTATCGATGGTCAGCGGAATATGTGATTATCAATAAAATTCAGCGCATAATCTCGAGTTCGGTTTGCTAAGATTAATATGAGAATGATACTTTTCTCAAATTTCATTTGAAGCAACGAATTCAACATAGTCTCATTTTGAATTATTCGAACGATGGGACCGAACGGATAGAGTTGTTGTTCAATGTTTGATATGACAGAACTTTGATCAAAAACAACTGCTTTCGGTTGCCCATCGACTGGATCAGGTGGAGTAGTTTCACCAAGACTGATCGTCGTCATATCTAAATGTATTGACTATTGTCAAGATATATTGCAAACTTTGAAAGCAAACCTGCTTTAAAAATGTTCTAGTTGAGCTCAGCAAACTGCCGTTGGATGTCTTAAAGAAAACTGGTAGGATTCATTTTTATATAAAAATAAATTTACCAAAATATAAGAGAAAATAATAACATTGAAGGGGACTATTATTTGGATAAACTCTGGTATATCTAAAACAAAAACTAAAAACCTATTTATTGTTAACCCCCGATTTTACAGTCTCAATTATATATACGAACGTTTATTCAAAGGCATTCATACAAAGTAAAAATAATATATTTCATAAAAACAAAAAGAACATACTTGTTGGAAAGCAAATCAATCTTTAGATAATGCGGATGAGGACATTTTAGCAAAGCGTTTAATTCTTTCTTCGGTGTTCTTTTCAAGCAGTTCATATAATCGAACCGATTTGGTGAGAAAATACTTTGCCGTTCTACGATCGTTTTGTTCTCGAAGAACTCGCTGGGCAGTTTCACGATAGTACTGTGCTAAATCATGAATGAATTGACCGCAAACTTGATCAGACTTAACTTCATAATCATTGTAATAGATATGCAACCATTTGGAGCCCAATGTTTGAAGATAATGGGGTAAAGGTGTGTCAGAAAAAACGAAATATGTACGAGGACATTCTTGAAAGTCAGTAGAAGCCAAAACACGGTTCAGTTCACCACGGCTTATCCAATTTTTATCATCATATACGTCAGCTTTAAGTCGCGTACGCAATCCTGAGGCGCCCGAGTAGAAACAAAAGCCAGGTTCGACTTTGTTTAATTCTATACAATTATCTGTTATCTTAGAATATATTTAACGTTTTTCTTACCTGTATTTTCCATGGTTGTCCTATCTGTGTTGAAACTTAAATAGTTCGTTCGTGTAAAACTACAAGCTCCAGAAACTAGAGCTTTCATCGCTCTATGAGATGTTGCATACATTCTATTTTTGATATCACTCCATGTCCATAATCGATCGAAATTAAAATGATGATACGAAAACGATTGGACATGATGAAGTAATCTGAGAATAAGTTGTTGATTAGTATGCTCTCCAAATGTGTCTCACGGCATAGTAAGAAGATTGTCTACAAGACCATATTCCTTGTTATTGGCTGCTTTCATTTTGACTACATAGGTATTCGTTTCATATGACGGTGTCACTTCATTGATACGGAACATTGCTCCAACAGAAAAAAGAATCTCTCGTTCTTCTGGAAAAGCACTTACATGTGCCACCTCAGCGAAGATACAAGTTGGAGAAACATCTGTGCCAATCTCTATTTCTAGAAGAACATTACAAAATTTGTCATCTTGTCCAAGAATGCCTTGTTTTCTAGCGTATTTCATTGCAACTTCACGATTTCGGCTTGCTGATAAGAAACCATTGGGTACAACGAGATTTCCCACACGCAAAAATATACAGTATTTCGTTGTTGGTCAGAAAAAAAATGATACTGACATTACTCATATAGGCTTTCATCGAACAACGGAAATTCACTTTTTCAACATCACACTGAAGACAACGTGTG